CAGTCAATAATGATCCAATTATTCCATAAATTCACATGAAGGTAGAGCCGGACGGATAGTTTAAAATGCCTCTTGCCGCTTGCCTCTATCTTGAGCCGTTTAGTAGTTATTAACATTTAAAAATAAGTCAAATACCTTGTCGCGTTTCTGCTATCCTAGTACGAAAATTTTGAGTCAAAATTGGATCTTTTCGAATTCGGAACTCTGTATCAGGATAATAGAAACGCGAGGAGATATCGAAAATTTTTATTTTTGCCACAACTTTTTTAATAATGCTGTTAGAAGAAAACTGAGTGTATTTCCGAGATCTACATGTGGTCCTCTATCCGTATGCAAATTTAAACAGCTTTTTATTTTTTCAAAAAAATCGAAAGGGTATATAGCCTTCCAAATTTTTTGACAAATTTTTTTTTTGTCCCTGATCTTGATGAAAATTGGGGTATATATAAAAGAAAGCACGAGTAATTAAGGGGTGAACTCAGTTGCTCCCTAGATATAAGGGTTAACTTTTTTTTCTTAATTCCTCAGTCAATAATGATCCAATTATTCCATAAATTCACATGAAGGTAGAGCCGGACCGATAGTTTAAAATGCCTTTTGCCGCTTGCCTCTATCTTGAGCCGTTTAGTAGTTATTAACATTTAAAAATAAGTCAAATACCTTGTCGCGTTTCTGCTATCCTAGTACGAAAATTTTGAGACAAAATTGGATCTTTTCGAATTCGGAACTCTGTATCAGGATAATAGAAACGCGAGGAGATATCGAAAATTTTTATTTTTGCCACAACTTTTTTAATAATGCTGTTAGAAGAAAACTGAGTGTATTTTTAAGATCTACATGTGACCCTCTATCCGTATGCAAATTTAAACAGCTTTTTATTTTTTCAAAAAAATCGAAAGGGTACAGCCTTCCAAATTTTTTGACAAAAAATATTTTTGTCTCTGATCTTGATGAAAATTGGGGTACATATAAAAGAAAGCACGAGTAATTAAGTATCTTGAGCCGTTTAGTAGTTATTAACATTTAAAAATAAGTCAAATACCTTGTCGCGTTTCTGCTATCCTAGTACGAAAATTTTGAGTCAAAATTGGATCTTTTCGAATTCGGAACTCTGTATCAGGATAATAGAAACGCGAGGAGATATCGAAAATTTTTATTTTTGCCACAACTTTTTTAATAATGCTGTTAGAAAAAAACTGAGTGTATTTTTAAGATCTACATGTGACCCTCTATCCGTATGCAAATTTAAACAGCTTTTTATTTTTTCAAAAAAATCGAAAGGGTATAGCCTTCCAAATTTTTTGACAAAAAATATTTTTGTCTCTGAACTTGATGAAAATTGGGGTACATATAAAAGAAAGCACGAGTAATTAAGGGGTGAACTCAGTTGCTCCCTAGCTATAAGAGTTAACTTTTTTTTCTTAATTCCTCAGTCAATAATGATCCAATTATTCCATAAATTCACATGAAGGTAGAGCCGGACGGATAGTTTAAAATGCCTCTTGCCGCTTGCCTCTATCTTGAGCCGTTTAGTAGTTATTAACATTTAAAAATAAGTCAAATACCTTGTCGCGTTTCTGCTATCCTAGTACGAAAATTTTGAGACAAAAATTGGATCTTTTCGAATTCGGAACTCTGTATCAGGATAATAGAAACGCGAGGAGATATTGAAAATTTTTATTTTTGCCACAACTTTTTTAATAATGCTGTTAGAAAAAAACTGAGTGTATTTTTAAGATCTACATGTGACCCTCTATCCGTATGCAAATTTAAACAGCTTTTTATTTTTTCAAAAAAATCGAAAGGGTATAGCCTTCCAAATTTTTTGACAAAAAATATTTTTGTCTGTGATCTTGATGAAAATTGGGGTACATATAAAAGAAAGCACGAGTAATTAAGGGGTGAACTCAGTTGCTCCCTAGCTATAAGGGTTAACTTTTTTTTCCTAATTCCTCAGTTAATAATGATCGAATAATTCCATAAATTCACATGAAGGTAGAGCCGGACGGATAGTTTAAAATGCCCCTTGCCGCTTGTCTCTATCTTGAGCCGTTTAGTAGTTATTAACATTTAAAAATAAGTCAAATACCTTGTCGCGTTTCTGCTATCCTAGTACGAAAATTTTGAGTCAAAATTGGATCTTTTCGAATTCGGAACTCTGTATCAGGATAATAGAAACGCGAGGAGATATCGAAAATTTTTATTTTTGCCACAACTTTTTTAATAATGCTGTTAAAAAAAAAACTGAGTGTATTTTTAAGATCTACATGTGACCCTCTATCCGTATGCAAATTTAAACAGCTTTTTATTTTTTCAAAAAAATCGAAAGGGTAGCCTTCCAAATTTTTTGACAAAAAATATTTTTGTCTCTGAAATTGATGAAAATTGGGGTACATATAAAAGAAAGCACGAGTAATTAAGGGGTGAACTCAGTTGCTCCCTAGCTATAAGAGTTAACTTTTTTTTCTTAATTCCTCAGTCAATAATGATCCAATTATTCCATAAATTCACATGAAGGTAGAGCCGGACGGATAGTTTAAAATGCCTCTTGCCGCTATCTTGAGCCGTTTAGTATTTATTAACATTTAAAAATAAGTCAAATACCTTGTCGCGTTTCTGCTATCCTAGTACGAAAATTTTGAGACAAAAATTGGATCTTTTCGAATTCGGAACTCTGTATCAGGATAATAGAAACGCGAGGAGATATTGAAAAATTTTATTTTTGCCACAATTTTTTTAATATTGCTGTTAGAAAAAAACTGAGTGTATTTCCGAGATCTACATGTGGTCCTCTATCCGTATGCAAATTTAAACAGCTTTTTATTTTTTCAAAAAAATCGAAAGGGTACAGCCTTCCAAATTTTTTGACAAAAAATATTTTTGTCTCTGATCTTGATGAAAATTGGGGTACATATAAAAGAAAGCACGAGTAATTAAGTATCTTGAGCCGTTTAGTAGTTATTAACATTTAAAAATAAGTCAAATACCTTGTCGCGTTTCTGCTATCCTAGTACGAAAATTTTGAGTCAAAATTGGATCTTTTCGAATTCGGAACTCTGTATCAGGATAATAGAAACGCGAGGAGATATCGAAAATTTTTATTTTTGCCACAACTTTTTTAATAATGCTGTTAAAAAAAAACTGAGTGTATTTTTAAGATCTATATGTGACCCTCTATCCGTATGCAAATTTAAACAGCTTTTTATTTTTTCAAAAAAATCGAAAGGGTATAGCCTTCCAAATTTTTTGACAATTTTTTTTTTTGTCCCTGATCTTGATGAAAATTGGGGTATATATAAAAGAAAGCACGAGTAATTAAGGGGTGAACTCAGTTGCTCCCTAGATATAAGGGTTAACTTTTTTTTCTTAATTCCTCAGTCAATAATGATCCAATTATTCCATAAATTCACATGAAGGTAGAGCCGGACCGATAGTTTAAAATGCCTTTTGCCGCTTGCCTCTATCTTGAGCCGTTTAGTAGTTATTAACATTTAAAAATAAGTCAAATACCTTGTCGCGTTTCTGCTATCCTAGTACGAAAATTTTGAGACAAAATTGGATCTTTTCGAATTCGGAACTCTGTATCAGGATAATAGAAACGCGAGGAGATATCGAAAATTTTTATTTTTGCCACAACTTTTTTAATAATGCTGTTAGAAGAAAACTGAGTGTATTTTTAAGATCTACATGTGACCCTCTATCCGTATGCAAATTTAAACAGCTTTTTATTTTTTCAAAAAAATCGAAAGGGTACAGCCTTCCAAATTTTTTGACAAAAAATATTTTTGTCTCTGATCTTGATGAAAATTGGGGTACATATAAAAGAAAGCACGAGTAATTAAGGGGTGAACTCAGTTGCTCCCTAGCTATAAGGGTTAACTTTTTTTTCTTAATTCCTCAGTCAATAATGATCCAATTATTCCATAAATTCACATGAAGGTAGAGCCGGACGGATAGTTTAAAATGCCTCTTGCCGCTATCTTGAGCCGTTTAGTATTTATTAACATTTAAAAATAAGTCAAATACCTTGTCGCGTTTCTGCTATCCTAGTACGAAAATTTTGAGACAAAAATTGGATCTTTTCGAATTCGGAACTCTGTATCAGGATAATAGAAACGCGAGGAGATATTGAAAAATTTTATTTTTGCCACAATTTTTTTAATATTGCTGTTAGAAAAAAACTGAGTGTATTTCCGAGATCTACATGTGGTCCTCTATCCGTATGCAAATTTAAACAGCTTTTTATTTTTTCAAAAAAATCGAAAGGGTATAGCCTTCCAAATTTTTTGACAAAAAATATTTTTGTCTCTGATCTTGATGAAAATTGGGGTACATATAAAAGAAAGCACGAGTAATTAAGGGGTGAACTCAGTTGCTCCCTAGCTATAAGGGTTAACTTTTTTTTCCTAATTCCTCAGTTAATAATGATCAAATAATTCCATAAATTCACATGAAGGTAGAGCCGGACGGATAGTTTAAAATGCCCCTTGCCGCTTGTCTCTATCTTGAGCCGTTTAGTAGTTATTAACATTTAAAAATAAGTCAAATACCTTGTTGGATCTTTTCGAATTCGGAACTCTGTATCAGGATAATAGAAACGCGAGGAGATATCGAAAAATTTTATTTTTGCCCCAACTTTTTTAATATTGCTGTTAGAAAAAAACTGAGTGTATTTCTGAGATCTACATGTGACCGTCTATCCGTATGCAAATTTAAACATTTTTATTTTTTCAAAAAAATCGAAATTTTTATTTTTGCTCAATCTTTATGAAATTTTGCACATAATAGTATGTACTTTAAAATGTCTGGCAGGTGTCTGCTTCTCTCTATCTTCGATACTTTTTGCTACATCTTTTGTATTATTGCTGTTAGAAAAAACTGAGTATATTTTTGAGCTCTAGATGTGACATTTTTTGCATATGCAAATGGATACATTTTATGACGAATTTTGTACTTAAACTTTTGAACATATCATATAATAAATAAATGTAAATCAATAGGTAGTATATTTTTAATTTAAATTAATTTTTAATTACATGTATTATAATTCAAATGCCAGTATGTCTAATAATTTTAGACATTTCCAGATAGATATCTTCACTGTATGAAAACAAGCATGGTTATACTTGTGATATTCTACTGCTACCTCTTGAATTGTTTCTTAAATCTCTCATAATGATAATCATCAGTAGCTTTCTCGTCCTTCTTTTTAGGCTTATCTTCAACTTTAGCCTTTTTTGCCAGCACCTCTTCACGTCCAATATTGAATCTATTGTGCTGTACAAAATTCACAGCCATGTTAGATGGTACAAATTGAGAGGGGCCATCTTTTTTATTTTGATTTTGCCAAAGTAACCTAAGTTTGGCTTCCTCTGTAGCTTCGATATTTCTTATTTTAGCTTCTATGCCCAAATCTACCTCAGGTATGCCACTTAACATTTGATTTGATAACATTTCTTCAGATTGCTTTTTCGACGATTCTCTCAAGTGTTCAGGTACAGATTGGAGAGCGATTTCTTCAGGAGTGTGATATTTCTTGGTGTCACCGTGAAAATTATCTTGTTTTTCTTTACCTTTTCGTTTAGATAATTCCACTTCTATAAACTTCATCATTTCTTCATCCTCGTCTCGTTTATTGGTTTCAACTGAAAACTGCGTTCCTATTCCTGTATCGTAAGCGTCGTCTACTTGGTTAATTTTACCACTAGATAATGCTTTTAAAGACACTAAGCCACCGATATCTTTGTTGTAACTGTCTTTTAAATCTGTATCCGGTGGCATTCTTGTACCCAAAGCTAAACCGACGATATTCACACCGTTTGGCCGCTCTCTAAGTTTCTGTATTTCTCTCATTTCCTGTAATTTTGAACTAACTTGTATGTGGTCTTCTTCATCGCTGTCCTCATCTTTGATGGGTTTTCTGAATTGTTTGCGAGGTTTTCGTTTGAATTTAATTTCTTCCGGCTTTTCCTGGAAAGCCGAGCTTTCTTCTGGAGCGGACATTGTTATCAATTATCTTGCTTTTACTCTTTTAAACTATAAAATAAATTAATTTTAATAAATTGACATCTTTGTTGATATATTTTGACATTTCAATTACTAATCTGTCAACTGTCAAAAGTCACTAGAAATTTCAGTGCTGCCAAAATAAATTTAAAAGAATCGTACTAGATCGTTGTTGACAATGATATATATTTATATAGATTGATAATTTTCTAATAGACTGTGGTATTCTGTATCCACAATTTTTAGAGTGCTGTTTTTAACACATCAGGAAAACGCTGGACAACATCGTATTGAATACGATACATTTGAACTAATTTTGACCAACGTTACGCATGGGAAGAGTCCATTTAAGAAAAGAAAAAGAAGACTATCATAACCAAACTAATTATATTTTTGGTTAATCTTAATAAAATTTAAAATGTTTTTAAAAGATAAATTTGGGCATTGGAACGGTCTCTTAAGTCTCTAATTGATCTATGATGTAATCTAAATGATTCCCTGATATATTAACAAGGTGGTAAAGCATTATCGTTAAACATACATACAAAATGAAGAGTTTGAGGATTTTCTCATGGACCCAATTATTAGATTTTGACCAAATTTATATGGGACCACCCCTGAAGTACCCCCTTTCTAACAAAAAAAGAATCATTGAAATCGGATAAAGTGGTAAAGCATTATCGCTAAATATACATAAAAAATGAAGATTGAAGATTTTCTCATGGACCCAATTATTAGATTTTAATCAAATTTATATGGAAACACCCCTGAAGTACCCCCTTTCTAACAAAAAAAGAATCATTGAAATCGGACAGTGTGTTAAAGAATTATCACTAAACATACATAAAAAAAAATATTGCAATGAATTGAGAACCTCCTCCTTTTTTGAAGTCTGTTAAAAATATAGAGGAATCGTTACAGAATAGACCCCCATTATTACTATATGAACAATTACATTTTTTTATTTAAGAATAAGCAGAACCCATTATCAAGTTCATAAGAATTTTATTACACAGAAATTATTCATCACTTACCAACATCCTAAATAAAACTCATCAATATTGAAGATAACAAATAATATACGTTTAATTCACAGAAAGATTTATTGAATCAATAAAATGACATCCTTTTTTTTAATATTGTACATATAGAATACTTGATATTAACTATAAACTATGATTTGTTATGAATATTTAACAATTAAAAATCTCGAAACTTTAACAGGTGTTAGACAAAAAAGACCAAAATGTATTCTAAACATTTCATAGAATTGTACATTTACTCATAACAATAATATAGGCCAATGTTAAAAAGAATCTTTTCGTTTTCCTCATCTTTTCATGTTCCTGTGTGAAATGTTTTTTTTGGAATGTTTTCACATTGTGTTTAAAATATTTTCTCAATAGTTGCCTTAACATTTTTATAAACTTAACATTAAAACTCCGAATATATTGTTTAAAATAAATAATGGAAGTTAAAGTTCTGAAAAAAACAAAAAACCAACAGGCACTTCCTTATCACTTAACAAATTATTTGACACAAAAGATTCTTAATTTTTTTTTCAATATATTTCAAAGTAAACTCATAAAATCGTATTTTTACACATGCCCAGCAAAACATCGTTTTTAATTTTAAAAAATCCTCATTATATTAAAAAATAAATATCTTTTTTTCTCATTATTATATTTAAAAATTGACAAAACTTAACACAATTTAAAACAATTTTTTTTTTCACTAAATCCTACCGCGAAAAATAAAAACGCTCTAAAGGAGATTTAAAAATAAAACATCTAAATAATACCATACATTCAAAAAAGAAATAGTGAAAATTATTATAAAATCACAGATTTGTAATTAAACTTGGGGGGAAAGACGAACAACGATGAGGAGTTATGTAGAACGGTAAGGGGGTGTACCATGTGCTTTTTTTAAGTTCGCCCCCTTACCGATTTTTATACACGTACTTTGTCAACATCTAAGAATCGGAAGGATTTTCGAGCATCTCCGTTAAGAACGTATCGACGGAGACGTCTCCGATGAGTCTGAAGAAGAACAAGTGCTCGAGACACTTCAAGCCGATGGATCTGAGTGCGGGCAGTCGAAGAAGGAGTTTTGCGAATCGGCCGGGCTCGTTGGGATGCGTAGTTCTCGTGTATTCTTCGAGTACGCCGTAGATCTTTTCGCGAAGAATCTCGACTTCTTGGGACGATTTTAAACCTCTAACGTCTGGAAAAAGAATAAACAATAAATTAAAAAAAAAATCTTAAAAATAATTTTAAACAACCGGCGATTTTTTTATCATGGATCCCATCAAGAATTATTGCATTAAAACTTATGCAATGCCTAATAATCATCAATTCATAGTCTAACAAAATGTAGATGATACTAAAGCACTTGAAACCTTTGATTTGACAGCCAAAAGTTTTTTTAATGACTAGTAGAAAGACAAAAAAGACTAGTAACTTTATATGACACAAAAGCTGAGCGGACGTTAAAACAAAGATAAAAAATTAATAATAAACGCAACGAAACCCGTAAGGATCTCGTTAATTACAAAGATAACCAAACAATATTCATAAAAAATCGAGAAATAATTTTAAAAACCGATTTCAAAATCGTGTAGATGCCAATCACCATTATTATTATTAAATATTATTATTATTTTGTGTCATCGGCTTCAACTGCTAAGGTTATCTCGCCTCGTGTTCTGTGTAGGCTTTGTTACTGTTTCCCAGCGCCACTTTAGGAATAGCACTGTTAATTAGAACGCAACAGTGAATGGTCGAGTGGGGAATATTACCAAGGCATCAGAATTAATTTTAAATAATTAAATTAAATGAAAAAATCCCGGCCAACGGTGGTATTCGAACCTGGGACCCTTGGATCCACAGGCAGAGACTCTACCATTGAGCCACATTATTATTATTTACTGATCAAAGCTGATGACACACGTCCTATGATAGCCTAAAAACAAAATAAAATTCTAACAAAGTAAACACACTGAAATAAAAATATAAGAACACTAAAAATTAAATAAAAATGTTAAACAAACATTCGTCTAATTTATTTTTAAATACCTTAACTGTTATGGCACCAACAACTTCGTCGCTGAGGTCGTTCCATATATTAAATACCCAGTTGGAAAGGAATGATTGTATGTGCTTCGTTTTTAGGTTTTCCTTAATTTTAGTTCATGACCACGTAGACGAGAGTCAGTATTTAACAAAAAAAATGTCACTAAAATTTCCGTAATCTTAACCAAATTTATATGAGACCACCGCTAACGAACCCTCTTACTAACAAAAAAAGAATCATAGAAATCGAACAGGGTGGTAAAGAATTGAAGAAATGAAGACTTTGAGGATTTTCTCATGGACCCAATTATTAGATTTTGACCAAATTTATAATGAACCACCCCTGAGGTATCCACTTACTAACAAAAATTGCTAAACATACATAAAAAAATGAAGAGTGAGGATTTTCTCATGGATCCAATTATTAGATTTTGACTAAATTTATTATGGATTACCCTTGAGGTACCCCCTTACTAACAAAAAAAGAAATATAGAAATTGGACAAGGTTGTAAGAAATTATCACTAAACATACATAAAAAATGAAGAGTTTGAGGGTTTTCTCATGGACCCAATTATTAGATTTTGACCAAATTTATATTGGATCACCCCTGAGGTACCCCCTTACTAACAAAAAAGAAATCGGACAAGGTGGTAAAGAATTATCGCTAAATATACATAAAAAATGAAGACTGATGATTTTCTCATGGACTCAAATATTAGATTTTAAATAAATTTATATTGGACCACCCCTGAGGTACCCCCTTACCAACAAAAACAGAAATATAGAAAATTATCGCCGAACATACTAAAAAAAATAGCAACGAATTGAGAACATTCTCCTTTTTTGAAGTCGGTTAAAAAGAAATAAAATCAAACCTTTTAGGTACCAAAATACTAATAGACAAAAACAAACAAATACATAAATCAATAATTAAAAAATCGACTAAATTATTAACATTTTCAGGACCATGAACAAGAGATCAACGCTCAAAACCATTATAATATTCCTTCTAACCTTAATCCCTATCCCTGTAATCTGCGACATTGAAATCCATGAACTTGATACATAAAATCAAAATTTAATTAGAAACAAACTAAAAGAGTTGTCTACAAAATTAAATAACTATATAACTTACGCAAATACATTAAATCAAGTAATTCAAAACTGTCAAAATTTAATAAATGTCCTAAATAATCTAGAAAACGCAATTATGTTTGCTCGTTCAGAATCTTTCATACATCAATCGTTTCAGTTGATGAATTGTTAAAATTAGCAAATCACTTGGCATCTCTCTATGGAGAAAATAAAATCAATTTTACTATTATCAATTGACAGGCATTCAAGTAATAATGAAAAACTCAAATATATTTTTTGCTATACATTTACTTTTTTTAATAAATGATAACTGACAAACATTTCACCTAATTGGCATACCTTACCAAAAATCCATAATAATTCCTGACAAAATCTACCTAATACTCGGTAAGACAAGTCTCCATTAAAAAACGACGTTTATTTATGCTAAAACCATGAAGAAAACCGATGAAAATTGTATCATTCCTCTTATCAAAGCTGAAGAACCAAGATGCCATAACAGTCCTGCAATCCTAACTCACAATATAATTGTTGCCTGCCAATACACCAATCAAAATAGAATCAAACTGCGAAATAAAAAAAAAAAGAATCCTAATAATAAAACACAACACTACTAAAAATACCCAAAGGCTGCGAAATTCGTACAGAAAATTCGACCTTCCAAAGCACTGAAGAAATAATGCAAATCCACTTATATTGCCGAAATTCTAGTGGAATCTTAGAAAAAACTCCGAAAATACAGTCCAATTGACATCCAATCAACTCCAGTCTAGATTAACCTCGCCGGATATTCAACAAGTCCATCCAGCCGTTTGGAATTTACTTAATTTGATAATAATAATAATAATAATCCTGATTGTACTTCCTGTTGGTATAGCATGGTACTACATAAGAAAAACGATCATGGGCGAAGTTATGTCATCAGATCTGGGGGGCTAAAGCCCTAGCCCTAGTCATATAATATATAATAGTTCTAGAGGTATACCTACTGAAGTTAAGTAAAAAAATTCTGGCGAATCTATGAAAATGGATAAAATATCATATATCGATTCTAAACAAAGTTTTGCAAAATTTCAATATTGTGAATTTGTAGATATCCATTTATGGTAAAAAACTAAATTTTACGACTTGCACTTGGAAAATAATGAATACTTCAGTTTTGATTTTGACATTAACACCATATAGATTGCAATTTGCTGGGGACTTTTTCGCAGATTTCATTTTTAACATAAACACTATCACATACTATAAGAAATAAACAAATTTAAAGCTAAAAAGTAAGAAAAACTCGAATTGTAATTGATACAAATTAAAATGTAAACAATGAACTCGTTGCGAAATGATGAACTGATTTTAAAACAAAATTAATAAATGAACTGAAATTAAAAAAAAAATTAATATAATAAATCGGTTTTATAAAAAAGTCCTTAAATAAGTATAGAGTATGATTACATATTACTATACACAAATTTTGATTCTTAAATAAAAGGTCTTATCCACTTCTTCAAGAGCTAAAATCCGACGACGTAGCGAAATTTTGCTACTTCTGGCAACAATGAACGATATCCTACTTATAGGGACCTTCTACAAATTTCCTCCAGAGGGCGTATCACTTAGCTTGAATCGAGAATAAAGATCCTTCCAATTATATCTTCTCAAGGAAGTGTAGGATTTGGAGTGGCTTCAAGTTAGGTAAATCTCTTCTATTTGATATGCTCATAGGTATAGTGCCCTTGGATTCTGAAGTGCTACACATTTAGTTAGAATGTGAATGAAGATTTTTTCCTCCTCCTCACAAAATCTGCACTATCTTCTACTACTCTCAGTTTACTAAGGAGTAATTTTAGTTGGCAATGTCCAGTAAGGATCCCTGTTACAAGTGTTCTCACTACTAGAAAAATGTATATTATGATAACAGCTTAAAATACAATCTGGCTAATGTGGAACACCCCGAAAGCCTTGCCAGACTCGTCTAAGGCAATCTCTTATTGAAATTTGCAATATCTCATTGTAATCCTTGTTTTAGACTAATTAACTCGTATTATAAATTTTAGCTACATTAACTTATTACCTGTTTATTTATGTGATCAAAAGAAGCCATTAATAAATTTATTGACATGTTCACTTGAAACAAAGCAGAGAAGTTTGTGTGTACATGCACTGTGTAGGAATAGCACCCGGCACAGTCGCCATTGTGCCGGACACAACCAATTGTGATACGAAAACTTTTAAAAGTAGTTTCGCTGTCGGCTGCAGTTTCGTCCAGTTTTCCGCCGAAACCGAAACTGTAGTCGAAACTATTATTTAAAGCCAAAGTTGGCCGAAACCGTAACCGAACCTTCGGTCGGACACTACTTGTGAGTCTGGCAGGCCTCCGTAATTGTAATTGTCAGCCAGACGTGTATTTTCACTTACGAATATTTTGAAATTTATCCTAAGTAGATGGATAATGTTCTTAAAATATGCGTGAGTGTGCAAAAATTTACTGATAATAATTTAGGCACGTTTGGTATTGGGTAAGAAAGTTTTACACCAAATTATCCAAATTTCAAAACTTGACAGACATGCATTAAAACGACTAAAATCAAATTTTCAAAGATTCTGAAAGTTACTTTGCCATACCACAGAATATAAAACATATGTTTTATATGCTGTGGCCATACCATGACCATTTGTCATATTTGAAGTCGTTTAGTTGACGCGAAAAACCTAATTATTATTTTACATAAAATAAATGTAGTGTATTTCTACCTAGTTATAATTGGTATTAAATAAAATATTAACCACTGAAACGGCAAATTTTTTATATGCATGAAAAAGCTGCTCAACTGTCAAAAAAATATTCAGTATAATTTCGTTCAGGGTACCCACCAAAAGAAAAATTTCCGGAAATTTTTCTGGTTGTCATGAAAGTGTTTTAAAATAAAAGCAGTTGATTGGCTATAAAATGGAGGTGTAAAATTATAATTTAATCTATCACGTGACAAATTTTCAAACCCGGGAAAATAAAAGCAAAAATATTATATTTTTTTCATTTAGAAGATATTACCAGACTCATTAGCCAATTTCGTAAATCAGCCAGACTTATTATTATAAACAGTTCATGATTGTATCAATTTATATGCTCAATTTTCTGCCACACTCACTTTCCACTATCTGAGATAATCCAAACTGCCATTTTTATAAGCTTTATGTTCTAGTTTAGTAAATGTAAAATAGTTATGACTGGGAAAATAAGTGTCAGACTCAAAAATTTTGTTTTTTGTCACTAAGAGAACAGTTTATTTTTCATATACACCGACTGGAAAAATGAATACGAAAAAAATTCACTGCCTCCTGAACTAAATGTAAAATTGCAGAATCAAATGGCACGATTCTTTTTATTTTTTAATTTCTGTTCTGAAATCTGAAATGTTTGGGTGGATGTGCGATAAATGTTCGAATTATTTTTGGGGGGGCTTAGCTCCCCCAAGCCCCCCCTTAACTTCGCCCATGTATATCATATAAAATAATAGTGAGGTTGTACTTATATCTACAATCATGTGGTCCAGTGTTACTTACCTGGATTATAAAGGATAATAGCTCTTAAACAACCCAGCTCGGTTTTGTCCATTTTCATTTCTTTCATTTTATTCACGAGTTCGGAAAGCACCCTGTCGTATATCGTACCCACTCCAACGGCATGAGCAGATTGTCTACAAATAAAAACAAACCATCTAAATAACCAAATATTTTGATATGGACATTTTTGTAGAGAAACTATTACTTCAGAAATAATTTAGTTTTTAAAATTTTATAAGTAACAATATCAGGGTGGTGTATAAAATTGAAATTCTATTAAAAAGGGGAAAATTTGTTGCGAGAGGAAAATAAAAAACACTGAGGGATTTAAAAGTATAAGAATTTGATAAAATTATAGATCGTAATTAGGTAGAAGAAAGGGGAGAAATAACGAAGTATTTGTAATAAAAAATAAAGAAAAGAAAATTCTATTTAAACAATAAAAAAAGGGAAAATCAGAGTGAAACTAAGTGGGGAGGGACTGTTTATAAAGTGGCCCTAGGAAAAGCAGCACCAACCACTAAACAAGTAGAATAGGTAGAGTGAAGAGTAGTATTTTAGATTTTAAGTTTCTTATTAATAATAATGTCTTTATTATTTCTATAAAAATACAAAACAAAATATAAATATTTTATAATAAAACAAAATATAAAAATAATAGACGAAGTTCATTCTTTGTAAATGTTTGATTATTTACAAAGCATGTTCTACCACTTAACCCTTAATTAGTAAAAAACATCAAAATTTTTAGATATTTGAACTGCCCCATAAGTGAGATTGATTTGTGGTTGGACATTCTCTATCCCAATTTATCCATATCAAGTTATTAAGAGTAATAATTATAGTCCAACAATTATCCCGAAATTATCTGAAAATATATTTTATATAAAGAAAAATTTCGATTTGGGATCCCACAGGGATCTGTTTTATGACCCGTCCCTTTTTTACGTTGCACTAATGATATTATTGGCATTCAAACTAGATCACTTTTTATAGAAAGAATATAACAAAAATATAATAGATTAAATTACAAATAATTATGGAAGTCTGTATAGTTTTAATCAGAGATTATTTATATTTTTTCATTTAATTCATTTAATTTTACTACGATGATCAATTTATTTAAGTAAAAATTCAAATGAAACTAAAAATTGGATGTTACGATTGTGATTATGTTTGGAAATATCTCAAGAGGAAAGAAATTATTATAAGTATCTAAATATCGGATCAAATATTAAAAATCAAAGCAGGTTGAATGTGGGACACACTTAGATAAAAGAGAGATATAACATACACCGGTTTTAAACCTGCGCAAATGTTGCCAATTTCTAAAGAAGGGTTAACGGAGTGGGGGAACTGGGCGGCGACCCGAACTCTGTGACAGGGACCGGACTTTGTTTATTAGCATCTTAATCAACTATTAGGTTTATTTAAAAGGTGTTTAATCGAATTTTGTATTATGAAATGAAATTAACGTGATTTTTTAATATCAAACAGATGCCACGACATTTTATGTAAAGAGAAGACCTTTTATAGAATATTTCGTTAGCGTTTATTTACTACGGACTTTTCTGCAAGAGATTACAGTAAAATGTTGAAATAGAATATATTGTTAATAGAGCAAAAAGTGTTACTCATTGTCTACGAGTATTATAAAAATAGCATGTGCGCAGGCTAATACTGCAAATCTACCCTTATGAGTTGAACATTATATTTTTTCTACGGCTATTACATATTATTAAAAATTAGTCAAAATCAGAAAATGCTGTTTTGTATTATAACGTCAGAAAAAGGTATATTAAGGCTTCTTTCTTTAGGAATATTAATTAATATAAAGGATGAGTCGTCACATAAAACTCTAGAAATGCATATGTCTGAAACCAGATAACATTTTAAAATTTAAATTTATTAAAAGTCATTTGGTCGCTAGGGATGAGTGATTATCGAAATAAATTATCGATCATTGAAAATAATCGATTATTTTCGATCAATCGATTATTTTCAAACAATATATTTATTGTCATTTCCTTTAAAATCGACTACTTGATTACCTTTGAAAAATCAAAAATCATCGATTAATTAAAGAGCCAATTAACCTATAAATCAGTGTTTACAAAATATAATATAAATAGAATTATCGTTTATTTTAAATAATCGATTATTTTCAAATAAACCATTTTTTTTTCGTCCATGGAAACATATTATTCGATAATCTTTGAAAAATCGAATATAATCGATTAATAAAAAATAATCGATTAATTAAAAAGTCGATTAACTGATAAATCGATCAAAAAAAAAACAGAATGATCGATTATTTTAAATAATTGATTATTTTCGATCAATCGATTATTAGCAATAATCTATTTTTATTGTATTTCCTTTAAAATCGTTAATTCGATTATCTTTGAAATACCGAAAATAATCGCCTAATCGAAAATAATCAATTAATTAAGAAGCCGATTCTATGATAAATCGATTATTACCAATAATCTATTTTATTGTATTTCAAAAATAATCGATTAATTAAAAAGTCGATTAACTGACAAATCGATTTAAAAAAAAAAAACAGAATGATCGATTATTTTAAATAATCGATTATTTTCGATTAATCGATTAATATCAATATTCTATTTTTATTGTATTTCCTTTAAAATCGATAATTCGGTTATCTTTGAAATACCAAAAATAATCAATAATTCCAAAATAATCGCCTAATCGAAAATAACCAATTAATTAAGAAGCCGATTCTATGATAAATCGGTTTTCCAAAAAATAAAACGAATTATCTATTATTTTCTAATAATCCTTTTTTCATATTTCCTTTAAAATTGTTTATTCGATTATCGAAAATAATTGATTATTAAAAAGCTGATTATCCAATAAATCGATAATTTTAAAAAAATAACAAAAATATCGATTATGTAAAATAACCGATTATATTCAATCGATTATTTTCATATAATATCTTTGAAAAATCGAAAATAATCAAATAATTAAAAAACCGATTAAACGATAAATCGATTATTTTGAATAAATCTACTTTTTTTGTATTTCCGTTAAAATCGATTAATACATTATCTTAAAAAAAAAAAACGAAAATAATTTATTAAAAACAGCGGATAAATCGATTTTCATTAAAAAATATCAGAATTATCGATAAATCGATTATTTTTGTAACCCCTATCGGCCGCTTGCTTTTATCTGAGCATTTAGCTCCAAAATTTAGAGATTCGCATTTTTTGATCCAGTTATCTTTGAAATCGCATTCGATTGTATAATAAATAAATATTGCTAAATTTTGGATTTTTTTTTAGTAAACGAAAATTATGTTCGAGTTGTTTAGGGGTTTGTAATCTAACATTTTATTAACGTGACTAAGGGTCGATTCCACCGTTGTGTTAAACGAAGTTTAAAATGACATTTTTACATTAACACTGTCATTTTAATCTCCGTTTAACACAACGGTGGAATCGGACCTAACTCCTGTAACTTTAGTATTTTTTTTGCTTATACTAGATTACTTTGTTTTAAGACTGAAAATTCAATGTCACTTTCGATTTGACCGCAAATAAGATGAACCTTGAAATTTTAAGTAGGTCATCCTGTATTTCATCTAATATTCTTATAAAAATACCTTATAAAAATAAAATTTAGCTAGCAACTATGATTCTTTACCTCTTATTTATCTACCAAAAAGGGCTAAAAACTACCTTTAGAAAACATTCTTATAAAACTACTTTTTAAATACAAAATTTCGTTAGCAATAATGCCTATTTACTATTTATTTAAATTAAATGTTATTGAATAACTAGAACACTTTAAATTGCTAAAATACCAACAAATAAATCAAAAAACAGCTGTCAATGGTGATTAAGGTGGAGGTGTGATCGCTGAATGGAAATCGGAGCAATTCGGGTGGCGTCGTGCAACAATGATTTTCAATTAGTGGGTTACTTTGGCTTAAAATAGACAACATGCGCAGTGTGCAATGTTACATCTTCGGTCTCTTTAATCTAAGGGGACACATTAGAATTAAAATAAATAAACTCAAGAGTATTATATATTTATTTTGTATTGTCACTTACTTATTAACTGTAAGTCCCGTAGCCAGAACGATACCTTCTTGTGCGTGTATAGACCTATAGGAGAAGGCGGCTATCAGGAGTTCGTTCCAACCGGCCCGCAACAGCAATACTTGATCCGATACCGGCAACGAGGTGAAGTGCGGTATCAATTTCGCCCATTCTACCAGCTGCAACAACTGCTTGTTCGTGGCTTGGCAAATATTCGTTACGGCGCTCTAAAATTATACAACAAAAAAAAGGTGGTTAATATCTATTAGAACAGCTAGAGTTGCTGGAAGTCTGTTAAGACACATCAGATTTTTTAAATTTCATTATACATGTCACCAGCCACACATGTAAGAAACCATGGGATGTAAGACTATGTAAGCATCCACATACAGTGAGCATCATAAGTCTTACCCCCCTATCTAACTCGTTACTGGAGTCTTGTAAGGAAAATCGCCGAGACATGTCGATTTTTGATTTCTACAATGTACATTTTTGTATGAATAGTTTACCCCTAATTTTATTCCTTACTCATAGCTCATTTGAAAGGGGGGTTTATTCTCTATTCAACCGTTTAAAGGAATTGAAATTTGCTCCATTAATTCTCGACTAATTATAGTTTCAGAATAACGAAAATTAACGTAGAATTAAAATTCGGCCCTGTATGAAATCGGTTTTGGTTCAGACGTGAAGTGACTTTTTGCCATTATCTTTGGATAATAACTGCATGTTTTTGTTGATGTTCTTGCATTGTTTTGATTGCTATTCATCTCCATTCATCTCAAAATACACGTTAAAAACTTCAGAAAAATATCGGCGTAATTATGTAAACAGTTGGTATTTCTAATGAATCAATCCCTTATTCATAAATTAACAATTTATTTTCTATATAAAAAAAAAAGAATTCAAAACAGATAGGTAATCAATATGTATTTATAAACCTCTGTAAATAATCTTTATAAATAGATTATAGTTTTAAGAAAGTTTTTTTTTAAATAGGTTTTAAGTGTTGTTTCAGCAAAATAGTTGACGGAAATTCTACCTGAATGCAATAGCTAAAAATTACAAGTAAAAAATTTGTTCCTAAATGTTTTTATTTATTAAATTGATAGTAACGTTCTGAATTGTTCGTAAAAAAATTATTCCTATTTGAAATTTCGTGCTAAATATTTTTTTATTGCTGTTTTGATAGAATATAGTTTATTCGCTGAAACTAGTAAATTAAAGATTTAAAAAATATATTTAGAGGTTTTGCTTCTTATTGTGATTAATAACTTTTAGGTTTCTTAATAATTTATACATAGTGAACTTACTTCCATTGGAACGGGTGGATCATTGCACTCAACCCTCCGTTCGGCCTCCAGCAGCCTTTCTATTGGCATCTCTGTTTGTATATTCGAAGTAGATTCCACTTCTGACGTGTCCCTGTCTTTCGTTCTCTGTCTCTCCTCTTGTACCGCTTCTCTTTTCATTCCCATTTGCAGGCATTTTTGATATCTACAGTACTGACACCTAAAATTCATCGATAATCTTTATAAATTGAAGTACTTAAGTAAATATTTAGATTAATTTACCTGTTTCTTTGTCTTTTATCAATGATACAGTTCTTTTCTTCTCTGCAAGCGTACGACAGATCTTTCCGTACTGTTCTTTTGAAAAAACCTTTGCACCCTTCGCAACTGAAAAAGAAAATAAAATTAGCTGAAGAAATATGAAAAATATAGGAGTTGTAATAATTAGTATCCTCCTCAATGGGTATTTCCCGTATGACAAATTATGAATATTTTTTGTTACAACTCTGGAAAATATGAAACATTAGAAAACACTATGAAAGTATATTTAAACATTATTGTTAACGACGTTTTAGAAGAGCACGTCGCAATTCATTATACAATGTATTCCAAAAGGTTTTATAGACATAAGACAAACACTTTTAGAACACACTGTATACTAGAGTAAGAGCAGAGAGTAAGATAAATAATTTTCAATTGACACAAATTTGCCGATTTTTTCTTGTTTTTTTTTATTGCGATTTATAAAATTATTCGACTCTAAACGTTTCATAATTACACAATGTTTTTCTTTTAACAAAATACTTTTTCTCATGTTGTATATAAAACTATTTGGAACACTGTGTAATGGATTGCGACGTGCTCGAAGAGCACGTCGTTAGAAGAGCACGTCGTTAACAATAAAGTATATTTAAACATAGAAGAGCACGTCGCAATTCATTATACAATGTATTCCAAAAGGCTTTATAGATATAAGACAAACACTTTTAGAACACACTATATACTAGATTGCGACGTGCTCTTGGAGCACGTCGTTAACAACAAAGTATATTTAAACATTGTTGTTAACGACGTTTTAGAAGAGCACGTCGCAATTCATTATACAGTGTATTCCAAAAGGTTTTATAGACATAAGACAAACACTTTTAGAACACACTGTATACTAGATTGCGACGTGCGAATATTTTTGTTAATGACGTGTTCAAAAAGCACGTTACAATCTATTGTACGATGTGTCCAAAAAATTATAAATATGAAAAAACTTTTTGTTAAAAAAAGCAGTTATTCTTAATAAAATGTTCTGCATTTCTTGGGATTCCACAAACCAACTTTTTGGAACACACTATATAATGAATTGCGACGTGCTCTTCGAGCACGTCGTTTACATTAAAGTATATTAAAATACTTTTGATAAGGACGTGATGGAAGAGGAATGTGTTTTAATGTATTATAATGTGTTAATGTGTTATAATGTATTATAATGTGTTATATTGTGTTATAATTTGTTATAATGTATTTTAATGTATCATAATATGTTATAATGTGCTATAATGTTGTTATAATGTTATGTGTTATAATGTGTTTTAATATGTTATTATAAGAGAATATTTTTCACTATTAATAATATTAACTTCATAACCAATATGAAACCACTAGAATAAATAATAACCAGAAGGATATCTCAGATCACGTGATCTTCGAGGGCTCGTGACCTTCAAGCACACCTACACCGATATTCTACACCGAAACTTTCAGTGCAGTAGCGACCGGTACGGGCGGTGGTATCGAAAACGTGAATTTATAATTATTATTAGTCTGTTGTTTCAGTTAGTTTGACTATTTTCTGATTTTGTTGTGATTTAATGACAGTATGAGTTATGGAAGAAGACAAAAAAAAGCTGGATTTGTTTATAGTTATAAAAAACTGCAAAAATAAATCTTATACCGGTGCACATTCATTTTACAGATTTCCTCAAGATGTTGAAAGGTAGTCAAATACAGGGTGTTTTAAATTAGCTGTTACTTCGAGATATTTTCTGTATATTTAATCAGAGGGAGGGTGGGTTGCCCTACAGCACCCAGGGTATATCTTAATAATAGTATATTATGCAACGATCATGTATTAATAGCCATTACATAAGAGTTGACCACTGGACATAATAATAACAATCATAATAACAAATATCAGTGTGGACGCTGCCAACTCAAAAGTGGCGGTAAATTCAAAAATTTAAGATGATTTCCACAAATAATATTAATATGATGTTGCGAGTTTAGTACAGGAGCCCATTCGAAAATGTTGGGTTGATCGCTAATATAGCTAAATTGATATGGATACGTCAGTTAAAGTATTGTGTAATCTGTGGACAGCATCGCCAATATCGTTTACGTTTTACTATATTAATTTTTTTTTTAATGGTCACTTATTTTACGTTCACAAAGTGCAGGTGAGGCCAAAGTTTGAAATTAGCGGTTTGAGACAAATACACGCGAATATTTTATAATCATAAAATTAGAATAATTCATTCTGGAACAAAATATGCTACCCTACACCTATGTTATTATTTTTTTGAAAATTTAGATAATTAAATTTATTTTTCCATATCCGGTTGCTGTTAAGAATGGTTGTCGATAAATTTACAACTAGAAAATATCCAGCTAACGTGCGAAAATGTTTACAAAATCCCTGACATGGAAAATAAAAAAAAATCGACAGATCAGAAAATAAAAAAAAATTGAAAATTTTTTGAAAATTTAATTTTTCTGTTATTATTAAAAATGGATAGTTTTTTTTTTAATGTTTTCAGTTTTAATTATGTAGAAAACGTCCCTGTAAATCTAAAGCAGAGAGTAAGATAAATAAATTTCAATTGACACAAATTTGCCGGTTTTTCTTGTTTTTTTATTGCGATTTATAAAATTATCGACTCTAAACGTTTCTTAATTACACAATGTTTTTGTTTTAACAAAATACTTCTTCTCATGTTGTATATTAAACTATTTGGAAAACTGTGTAATGGATTGCGACGTGCTCGAAGAGCACGTCGTTATCAAAGTATATTTAGACATTGTTGTTAACGACGCTTTCAAAAAACACGTTGCAATTTATTACACAGTGTATTCCCAAACGTTTTATAAACGTAAGACGAACACTTTTTAAAACACACTGTATACTAGACTGCGACGTGCTCTTGGAGCACGTCGTTAACAACAAAGTATATTTAAATATTGTTGTTAACGACGTGTTCAAAAAGCACGTTACAATCTATTGTACAATGTGCCCAAAAAATTATAAACATGAAAAAACTTTTTGTTTAAACAAAGCAGTTATTTTTAATAAAATGTTCTGCATTTCTTGGAATTCCACAAACCAACTTTTTGGAACACACTATATAATGGATTGCGACGTGCTCTTCGAGCACGTCGTTTACATTAAAGTATGTTAAAATACTTTTGATAACGACCTGATGGAAGAGGAATGTGTTTTAATGTATTATAATGTGTTAATGTATTATATTGTACTATAATGTGTTATATTGTGTTATAATTTGTTATAATATATTTTAGTGTACCATAATTTATTATAAAGTGCTATAATGTCTTATAATGTTGTTATAATGTTGTTATAATATTGTTTATAATGTTGTTATGTTGTTATAATGTGTTTTAATATGTTATTATAAGAGAATCTTTTTCACTATTAATAACATTAACTTCATAAAAAAGAACGAGAAACGTTTAATGTTAAAGCACTGACTACTGGACATAATAATGACAAGTGACAAGTCTAGGGAAATGTCAAATATCTGTGTAGATACTAGCGTGTCATTTTTGAGCAACTTTTTTTTTTTTCAACTAAAAAGCAGGCTAAAAATTTTCAGAAGCCTCTAAAAATTTGAGCTATTTTTTCTACGACCAAGAACCAGTTCTTTAATCGAAAATAGATTAATTTAAAAAATTATAATGCTTTTAATCCCTCAAAACCTTAGATAATCTAATTTGTTATGACTACTTGTTAAGACAAATAATAAACCTTTTTTTATTTCCCAAAAGTGTTTCGGATTTTTTTCCGCTATAGCCTTTGGACTTTTTCTTTTTATATGATAGCAATTTTGAGTATTCTCTCACATATCAGTTTTATGTTTAATATTCAGTTGTTACTTTAACACTCTCACCGCCAGATGTAACATTAAAGTACACTTGGATGCCCTACTCCTAAATTTTTTGATATATCTTATGTTTTGCTATTAGTTTTAGTTTGTTTTTTTATTGGTGTACAAAAATGCTACACTGTCCTGCGAAGGAAATTGCTATCCTGCGCCAAGTGTAACATTTTTGTACACCAATAGAAAACAATCTAAACGGGGTTTCTCTGGTTTCAGATTTGCCTAGACGACTTTATATTTAACGACCTTTAAAAATATTGGCGGCCTTTAAAAATAGTTTCGTATTCGTTAATTTACTTCTATCATTATTTAAACAGATTTCTTTAAGATAGTCCTCTAATGTATTTTAAAGATCCGTTTAAATAATGACATAAGTAAAGAAGAAAATATTTTTAAAGGCCGTTAAATATTAAAGGAATTGTTACAGAATAGACCCCATTATCCTTTTATTTAGACTGCAGTTACCAAATAAACTAGATGGCTGTACTGTATACCTAATTCGAAGGAAAATATAAGACTTGTATAAAGAACAAATTGTGCCTTCACTAGATATATTGACGCAACGACTTGAAAAGGACGAAACTGGTATCCAGTGTACCATATTGATTTAAAAGCTCATATCAATGTTAAAATCGATACAGCGCTATAACACCTATCAGTCGCTATTGTCCCCATGAAAAAAAGCTATGGCCTAAAAGACTGGGGCAATAGCGTAGTTCGTGTAAATTTTAAAGTTTTAATAATCATATTAATAGCGTGGTTAATTATGTGTACAAGTTTCTACGTTACATTTTAAATAAATCACAATCAAAATCGATTTTAAAATTATTGGTGCGCTATTGCCTCAACCTTCCCTACTCTTTTATAGGAAAAACCATCAATATTATCCGACGACTGAGTTCCATTAAGAAATATGCTCTTATCCTTTTTAAATTAGCACTAGCCGCTACTGACTACGACTATTCGAGCGCAACTCTCTTCTGTTTTGGGGATGTTTTTGCAACGTTGTCGGATCAAAAATGTACCTGAAAAACTGGGAAAATGTCCTGACACGTGATTTTAATGGACCGTCTTGAATTATGAAAAAAAATCACAATCGTATATTAATGTATTAACTGAAAGGCTTATTGTAAAAACATGAAAAGCCACATTTTTTAAAATAAAGGCATTTTTACTTCATGACAATTAAAAATAAGGTTACAAAAGCTTGAACCAAATGGA